TTCCCTTTGAAAATATATTTGGTGCAGAGATGCTCTCTATTCTTGTCGCACACTGCCTGTGAACATTCTGAGGGTATTTGTGCCTTGGTCTCCCATTTGTTTAGATAAGTTGGCCATAGAGAAAAATACATCAATTATCTGCTCTTTGAGTATAAAATGTTTCATTAAGTATAAGAATAAGCATGGCATTTAGAGCTTTACACTTGATCTTAGCCAAAAGGCAGAGAGCGTTGGCATTTAGGGCTCTAGGAGAATTGTATAATATAGCTCCTTTTGTAGTAAGGGAAAAAAATAATCTCTGCAGATTCATTATCACTTTCTAGAGTTGTGCTATGTTAAATAGGAGTTACTTGTATTGTAGTTCTGTTCCATCCTAGGAAAACCCAGTGTAGATCAGCAGATCCCAACTTTCATCTTTTGAGGCTACATTGGACTTTCTCAAAGTCTTTGTACCTTAGTGGAGCAGGTAAGATGATGTTACAAACATGGCTATGTTAGGGTGTTGAGAGGGTGAGTTCGTGGCTAATAGAGGGAGATCCAGGTATGATGGAGCCTGAAGCTTTCACATTTCAGAGCCCTTTTTGGAGAGAAAGAATAAGAAATTGTCATTCAAAAATTGCTAGGGCATTCCTTTTTTAAAAGATTTTATTTATTTATTTGAGAGAGAGAAAAAAAGGGAGCATGAGCAGGGAGGCTGGTAGGGGCAGAGGGGGAGGGAGAAGCCCTCCCCTCCACTGAGCATGGAGCCAATGTGGGGCTCTAACCCAGAACCTGGGAATCATGAGCTGAGCTGAAGGCAGACACAGCCAACTGAGCCACCCAGGTACCCTGAGACTAGAATTTTGGACATTTTATTTTCTTAAAATGATCCATTACATACTGAGTCTGGTTTCTGTTTTTACCACATAATAAAACCTTGCTTTTGATGGACACCAATTATTTCCTAATCATCAAATTCAGTGGCTTTCCTTAAGTCCTTATTTTCCCTGATTTTCTGTCACATTTGATACCATGAATCATCTTTTCTTTCTTGAAATGCTCTCATCTTTTTTTATCACATCATTGTTTTCTTCTCACCTGCGAACACTTTTCTACTCTACTAATAATTTATCTTCCTACCTTCTTTGTCACCATTCTCAAGTTCATTTCTTAGGCCTTCCACTCTTCCCTGTTTCCTTGGGGGAAATGTGCTGCTCTTCTATCTTGACTCTATCTAAATTAATTTCCCCCAAACTAGCTTTCCTTTCCCTCCTGGGTTTACTTTTTTCTAAAAATGGTAGCATGGTCTACCCGGTTGAAACTTGGCATCAGCTTGATTTTTTTTTTTTTTGATTCATTTTCCATGTATCTGGTAGCCACTAGGGCATCAAATCTACTTGATTCATTCTTTCTAACTCATTTGGTCCTCCTACATTGTATTAACTTTTCATTCTTAACATAACAAGCCTCTCGTATGATTGGGATTCTATTTTTCCTCTAGACTCCCATTTTTTTATTGCTTATACTATACATAGTATGTCTAAACAAATATTATGTTTCACATCCTGCCTTGTGATGCTAGTTACCCCTTAAATTATATCTTTGTAATTTTATCACTCCACCCCAAGTACCTTTATATAATTAAATACCTTAATATGTAAATTCAAAACAACCTTGGTAGTTTGGAGACTTGCTGAAGAATCAATGAATGATGTTAAAAATGATCAGTAAGAATCTGAGGCATGGTTGTCTCTGAGCAAGCTTGTGAGAAGAAATATTGGGAGGGGCGTTAGTGGTGTCATGCTGCAGTTCCTCCTTAAAACTTCAGGGCGCACACAATTGTTTGCCTTTAGGAAGGTGTAGTTGAATATTTTCTGAAGTTTCAGACTTCTTAGATCAAAAGCAAAGCTACTTTTTCATTTCTGGCAGTATGCTTACCAAGTACCTGACAACATGTATGCTGGATATCCTAAAAAATTCCAATTATAATACCTCTCATCAAAGGCCAAAATGTATTGGTGGTTTAGAGAATATTTTAGCAGGTCACTCAGGTGAAATGAGATAAAGTCTGGGCCTAGGCAAGGTGGGAGTTGTATTGGAAACTGCACATAAAGCTGAGTCCTTTAAAAGGGATACACTTAGTAAAGGGTGAATTAGACAAAATTTGTTCCTTAAAGACAAATTGTAGAGAAGTTTGTGTGTCTTGTCCTTGGTTCTTGATGGTGAACAAACAAAGAAACAAACAAACAAAACAGCTTTTCCTTGAGAATCCATAACCATCCTTCATACAGTTTTGGTGTCAGAATTCACACTACATGTGTTACCCCAGAAACCCGAGATTAGAATGTAGCCTAAAGTATTAATGTATGGTGATCAAACCAGGTGGCTGGCAGAACCAAACACAAATCCTCTCTGGAGGAGTGTATTTTAAACTGGGATCTTAAAGAATTTTAACAGATAAATTTCCTGTGAATGCAAGTTCACTATTAAAAATAAAAAAACACAAAGAAATAAGCTAACATGAATGGGAGTTCACAGAAACAGTAAACAGAATCTGCAAAAACTTTATAAATTAAACTTGTCAGATACTTAACTGACAAAGGTTTATTTAATATATGTAAAGAGATAAGAGACTATTAAATGTAGGATTGAAAATCAAGAGACTATCACAAATAACCAGGCAGGTTTAGAAAAAGAACAAGGTGAAACATCTAGAAATAAAAATAGAATCATTAAAATTAGAATCCTGGTAGATAGTCCAATAGTAAGTTAGACAGAACTGAAGAGAGAATTAGTGAACTGAGAAATAGATCTAAAGAAACTACTCAGATTATAGCCTAGGGAAATAAGAAGTGGAAAGATAAAGTGGAAGTTAAGAGACATGGATGAAATGTGTGAAAGTCTAATATGCAACTATTAGAATTCTGAAAGGAAGACATACAATGAGAGAAGGCAATATTTAAAGAAATCTTAGCTAATACTTTTCCAGAATTGATAAAAAAAATTCTCAGATTCAGGAATCCCGCTGAATCCTAAGAATAATGAAAATGTAACCTACTCTCAGACACACTGTCCTGAAAGCACACAACACCAATTAGTGAAAAAAAGTTGAAAGCAGTCAGAGGAAAAGACAGAGCACTGTAAATGAATGACAGGTAGAATGGTAACCGAGTTCTCAACAGCATAATGGAAATCAGAAGATGGTTGGAGTAATATCTTCCAAGGACCAAGAGAAAATAGCTGTAACCTCAGAATACTAAGGCAGATTAACCATCATCTCCCAATGTATGTCCTTTGCTTTTTCTTTCATAATAAAATTCATGATTTTTTAAAAAGGTTTTACTTATTTATTTGACAGGGAGAGAGAGAGATCACAAGCAGACAGAGAGGCAGGCAGAGAGAGAGAAGAGGGGAAGCAGGTTCCCCGCTGAGCAGAGAGCCCGACACGGGACCTGATCCCAGGACCCTGAGACTGTGACCCAAGCCTAAGGCAGAGGCTCAATCCACTGAGCCACCCAGGCACCCCAAAACTCATGATTTTTAACTGAACCATGAAAGCATGGAATAAAAACTACTTTTCCTAGCCTTCCTTACAGTTAGCCTTATCAAAGAAGTAGTGAAGGTAGTAATTTATATTAAAGTTTAACAAGTCAAAAGGTTTGCTTTATTGTCTGCAATTGCTAAGATAATGGAAAAAAATATGAAGCAACTATGTTGCTATGATCACACAGGCTTTCTACAGGTTCTGGATCACAACACAGGGAGATAGTGATCCAAGGAGAGCCTGTCAGTTTTGCTGAGTTGGTGAGGTAGGGATGGACATAAATAAGATCAAGAGGACCAACGTGGCTACAGTCTGCAAGGCAGCATACTAGTGAAGAAAAAGCTATGTAGAGAAGGAACTTAGAAATCTGCATTGGTTCCCTTCCAATCTTTGTCTGAATACTAATCTGTGAATGTGTGGCAGCCATGAAAATGCATCTCTCAGATATCCAACTGCAGAGAGTGTGATTGACTTTACCAAAAGAACTGTAAGAATTAGCTAGCCTCCAGTAGGAACCGGGGAAATACCCCTGGGATTAGATTTTTAGGATATTTGATCAAGGGGAGTAGAATATAAGTCTAGACAAGGAAGAATATGTTAATTTGGGAGTACAATCTCAGAACATGGGATTTAACATCCTAGCAAGAATGTTAGCAAATGTAGCAAAATCAGGCTCTTAGAAGCCTGAAAAAAGCTATGGCCAACAGTCAGGGAAATAGAAATACTGGATTTGCCTTATAGATGGAATAAAGAAGCTAAGTGAAGTGGGTATACTAGAACAAATTATGTAAGATCAGAAGACCACACAGAGAATGATGCTCCATGGGAGGATGCAGGGGGTACATTTTTCAGTAGGCCCCAGTGAAAGGAGGTAGGAGACCTGTATACTGAAAACTGTAGCAATAGAGACTAATGTTAAGCTCCAGACATTGTTATTTTCTGACAAGACCAACTGGCTACTTCACCAAGTCAAGTATGTCAGAATTTTTCTATTCCTGAAGGAGTAGGATTTCATTTTCACAAGAGGGATACCTATTCTGAGTTTGGCTATACTTCCTTACCTGAAGATTCTCAGTAGCCTGGGGCTTTCAGAATACCTGATCCACAAGCATGTAAATACACACAGTGTAGCATCCAACTGCTTCACATTGAAGGAGATGTGGCAGTGGTCCTGTGACCATGGGAGTCGCTAGTAGTATCACATATGGTACCATCTCAAAGCAACCAGTCTCACAGAACACTGGACCAGTCTTTATAAGGTGCAACTCAAGTGGCAGTTCAGAGACAATCTCATAAAAGAATGATGTGCCACTCCTTGGGAGGTAGAATATATATAAATCAGAAACATTTATAGAGTTCTATATCCCAATAGAAATAATAGGCTGCTATATTTCCGTGGATCTGGGAACCAAGGCGTCGAAGAAGGAGAAGTTCCCATCACTTCCAGTGACCTACTTTGGAAGTTTTTACTTGGGAGTTTTTACTCTCATCCTTACACAATTGGGCTTTGGTGGAATTGGAGTTCCTGGTCTTCAAAAGGGGCCCATTCTTGCTAGAGGCCACAGCAAGAGTGCTACTGAACTAAGTTATAGCTGCTGCTGTGGAATTTTGGGTTCTTTGTGCCCAGAGACTAGTGGTCAGAAAGAAGAATCACCATGTTGGTAATCGGTCTTAATCAGCTGGGGGAGATAGAACTGCTGTTTTGTGAAGAGGTCAGGAATATATGTTAAACCCAGCTATTCATTTGAGCACCTCCTGGTACTTCCTTACATTTTGTAACCAGGAATGGACACATGCAGCCACTTCTGACTGAGAAGGGTATGATTACCAAGGTTTCAGACTATCCAGGAACGTAGGTTTGGGTCACACTACCCATGTAAGCCACCAAGACCTGCCAAAATGATAGATACAGGTGAGGAGAATTCAGAAAGAATCATGGAAGAGAAGGAGTACAGTTGCAGTCCTGAGATTCATTACAGTTATGAGGGCTTTAATTTGTCTCATTATTCTCCAACTTCTGAGTTTCCTCTCAGGAATAAAGGATAATAGGAATCATGGAGGAGTCTTTCTCTAAATAGTGAGGTGAAGTATATCTATGTGGTGCAATGAGTGAATCTCTGGTGGCCACAAAAATGTACCTCTTGGATCTCTGACTGTGGAGAGCATAATTGACTAGTGGCTCCAGTTGTTGCACTCTGAAGTTTGGCACCACATACACAAGAAAGCCACACTTCCCATGTGTTAATCCAGCTAATGACTGAGTTCATCAAGGATAGTGGCAGGCCTGTTCCTGAGATATGCAGGACTTCTTTGATGGGGAACTTTGGTGTGAAGATTCTCCATCAGGTTCCCAAACTTCCTTAGAACTGTGGTGCAATCTAACTATCTTCCACTCAACCTTACTTTCAATCTTCTCCTTTTGAAGGTCACATGTGCATTGCAATCTTACGACTGTCTTAGTTATCCCTGGCTCCCTTCCCATTTTTCCCTATAGGCACTTACTTCAGTAAATTTCTTACATGTCAAGTCCCTTCTTGGCATCTACTTCTTGGAATATTCAGACCAACAAGACATATATAGGGTGAAATTTACATGACCAATCAAAGGCTATCTTCAAAGCTATAAGCTGAATAATTCTTAGAGATCACATAGTGCTAGGAAAAGACTCAGGTTTCTGACAGCCATTGTGGAAAGATCTTGTTGGATAGCTGGGGCATTCAGTAGAAATCTCAGAAGGATTATACCTTAGTAGTAGGGTTAAACTAAACTTAGAATAAAGGCCAAGTTAGATCTGCTCTTACAAGTTTAGAAACAAGCTCTTTTGGACCAAGCTGATCTTCAAGTAACTCAATTGCCTGTTAAAACAAACTCAAAACTCTTTAAAGAAAAATTAACAAAAAATCCTAATAATCTTAAAATGGCCATAATGCCTGCCATTCAAATTAAAATTACTAGATTTGAAAACAACTCAGAAAAGAATTACCCATAATGAAAATTAAAAATCAGTCAGTAGACATAAAGAAATGATGATTATTAGCAGACAAGAACTTTAGGACAGCTGTTATAAAACACTCAAATATTTAAAAGAAAACATGAAAATAATGAAGAAAGAAATGGAATATCAAAAAAAGATCCAAATGGAACTTTTAGAGCTAAAATATACAATATCTGAACTAAAGTGAAAATTCACTGAATTGAATCCAAAATGGATTAGATATTGTAGAAGAAAATATCAGTGTCCTCAAGACATAACAATAGAAACCATCCAAATGGAAGAATTGAGAAAGTTTGAAATATAATGAAACAAAATTGAAATAAAGCCAGAATGACTGCGGGACAATATTAATCATTCTAACGCATGTGTTCTCAGAAATAGAGAAGAAAGGGCAGAAAAAATATTTGAAAAAAGAGTGGGTGAGATTTTTTTTTTCCAAATGTGATAAAAACTATAAATCCTCAGATCCAGATAGGTCAATGAACCCTAACCAGGATAAACACAAAGAAAATTCCAGCAAGGCACATAATAAATTGCTAAAAACCAGGATGTATTAAAACAAAGGCTTACTACTATTGAGGAAGGGCTCGGTCAACAGATCAGGAGGTTGCCTGTGAAAACATTGTTAAATTCATAGATCTCAAGAGAAAGGGATCACTTCATGCCACAGAGGCCCACCTGGGGAAGCAGCAGCTTTGGTCAGGAGGTAGGGGGAATGAGAGGGAAAACCTAGGGAAGAGGCTTTAATTTTGGTTTCTGTGGGAAGGAACATACAGGTCAGGGTAAGCAGTTTTAGGATTGGCTATTTTGAATAATTTCAGGAGGCTCTGGGATGTAGGGGCTCTCCTTAATTGTCTCATACCTGGACCTGGGGTGATTAAGCCAAGGGAATAGCGGCCTGCCATTTAACAGTCTAATAAATGAGGTAGTTGGGATATTGCATATGAAAAGAGTGCTTACAGGTGAGTTCTTTACAATCTCTAATAATTGGCTAGCCTTAGGAGGGGCAGTCCCTCCAGGGTCAGCAAGATGTCAAGATGCCAAAGCATCAAAAATACAGAAAATATAAAGGTATGATTAATATGCAGGGATATAGAGAAAATTGAAAAGCAGAGGAAAACAACACACAGAGTAGAGTGGCAGACTATATTTGCAAATCACATATGTGATAAGATAGTAGTATCCATGATATATAAAGAACTCTTAAAACTCAGAAATTCAGTAATACAAAGTCAACCCAATTTTTTAAAAAGATTTTTATTTATTTATTTGGCAGAGAGAGAGATCACAAGTAGGCAGAGAGGCAGGCAGAGAGAGAGGGGGAAGTAGGCTCACTGCTGAGCAGAGAGCCCGACGTGGGGCTTGATCCCAGGACCCTGAGATCATGACCTGAGCTGAAGGTAGAGACTTAACCCACTGAGCCACCCAGGCACCCCGAAGTCAACCCAATTTTAAAAAAGATTTTATTTATTTATTTATTTATTTATTTATTGGAGAGAGAGTGAGAGGGGCGAGCATGGGGAGGTGCAGAGGGAGAGGGAGAAAGAGAATCTTAAGCAGACTCTGCGCTGAGTGCTGAGCCCAACTCTGGACTGGATCCCACTACCCCGAGATCATGATTTGAGCCAAAATCAAGATTCAGGTGCTTAATCAAGCCAAGTCAACCTAATTTCTTAGATGGGCAAGGGATCTGCTAAAGACTGAATTGCATTCCCCCACAGAATTCATATGATGAAGTCCTAACACCCCCTGTGACTGTATTGGAGATAAGACCTTTAAAGAAATAATTAAGGTTAGTAAGATCATAAAGGTATAACCATGATCTAATAAACTAGTATCCTTCTAAGAAGAGACACCAGAGATCCTTCTTTCTCTCTCTCCTATTTCTTCCAACCCCCATGCGCATGCCCTGAAGAAAGGCCATGTAAGGGCACAGTGAGAAGGTGGTATCTATAAGCCAAGAAGAGAGACTTCACTACAGCCCAACCATGCTGGCACCCTGATCTTGGACTTCCAGCCTTCAGAACTGTGAGAAAATAAATTTCTGTTGCTTAACCCACCATGTCTATGGTATTTCATTATGGTATTCTGAGCTGATTAAGACAGGATCTGGATAGATATTGTTCCAAGGAACATAGAAAATGACCAATAAGCACTTGAAAATATGCTCAACATCATTAATCATCAGGAATATGCAAATCAAAACCCCAGGGACATACCACTCCATACCTATCAGGATGACTAGAATCCAAAAGTCAGATAATAGCAAATGCTTGTGAGGATACAGAGAAATCGTAACCCTCATACTCTGCCAGTGGAAATATAAAATGGTGCAGTTACTTTGGAAGAATAGTCTGGCAGTTCCTCAAATAACTAAAAACAGAATTACCTTATGACCTAGCAATTCTATTCCTAGAATTGCTAGAATACCCAAGAGAAATGAAAACATATCTATACACACTAAAATTTGTACACAAATGTTTATAATAGCATTATTAACAATAGTCAAAAAGTGAGAACAACCCAAATGTCCATCAACTGATGAATGGATAAACAAAATGTGGCATTTCCATATGGAATGGAATATTTTGTGGCCATTAAAAGAATGAAATACCAATGCATGGTACAACATGGGTGAACCTTGAAGATATTTTCTAAGTGAAAGTAGCCAGTCACAAAAGGTCACATATTATATGATTACATTCATATGAAATGTCTGGAACAGAGAAATCTATAGAGACAGAAAATAGGTTATTAAAACCTCATATATCTGATTGCCAAATGATTGCCAAAATCAATATGCTACTATTTTGTTTAGGACTTCCACATCTATGTCATGAGTGAGGCTGAACTATAATTTTCCTTTCTTACAATGTCCTTGTCAGATTTTGGATCAAGTCATGCTGATTTAGTAAAATTAGTTGGAAAGTGTGCTATGTATTGCTATTCAAATATTCTCCCTTTTCTCTAAAAAGATTATTCATCCTTGCTTATGTGATTTGTAATGGTGTGATTTGAAGTGGTACCTGTGAACGAAGTACATTTCCTTTTGACCCACTGAGTAGAGATTGAACAGGTGACTTGCTTTGGCAAACGACATGTAAATCAATAGGCCACACACCATGTCTGAAAGGAGCCATTCTGTCTTTGTGCCAGCTCCCTTGCTCTTTATCTTCTGACTTTAGATGATGAGAACAGTAAGTCCCAAATACGGAGTGTTCCTTCAGCCTGGATCCTGAACAAAAAAGACACCGGGATGAGAGCCACAGCATACCCACAGCTTGGAGAAGAGCTGCAGCAAATTCACATCTGACATGTAACATGAGAAATAAATTTCTGTTGTTTTGAGTCACTGAGACTTAGGGATCATTTGTTTCCACAGCATAAGACAGCAAAATTTGACTCTACTCTGAAACATTTTCTGTAAGTTTAGATTTATTTCTTATTAACACGATAAAATTTATCAGTGAAGCTGTCTGGTCCTAGAGTTATCTTTGTGGAAGTATCTTCCTAGTCTCCTTCCCTCTGACCTCTCTCCCCTCTCTTTTCTTTTAGTCTTCATGGTTTTGTTTTATAATGAAACATTCATA